CTGGACTAACTGTAGGTCGACCACTGTGTTAGTTGCAAGGTCCATCATTGTATAACTCCCATACTTGGCCGAGTGACCTTCAAGAACAAACCGTACATAATTATTCTAAACACATTTTTGGAATAATTGTAATGTATTTCATATTTATTTTTTTTATTAGACTGTATTGAATTAGAAATTAAATCTTTTGACTAAATACCTGGGGAGTCAGCCCTCATATCTCCTCCAACAATCACATTCTCTCTTCGACTGAGCTGTTCTAGCATTTCACTCTGCCAATTTCTCCACTTGTGGACAATAGCAGGTTCAATGCAAAGTCTTGCATGACGGCGAAATGAATTATATTTAAAAATGTGTAGTTTCATTGCAGCAAATACCTGACAACAGAGAGGAGAATTTTTAGTACAATGTGCATGCACCCTGTGACAAAATTTATATTATGTTTCTAAAAGAAATGTGATAAATTTTGATAGATAATTACCTTTTCAACTACAAAAAATGATGCACCGCTCAAGTAGACTGCAGCAGAAAGATGCAGGTTGCCAGCTGGAGTACTACCAATAATTGGCTGACTGTTCCATTTTCTTACAAACTCGCAGTGTGGGCAGACTTGCTGTACGCTCAGAAATGTCCCAAGCCTTTGTGACTTTACATCACATCTCCTCTGACACACTGGGCAGTCACTGAAGAGCTCCATGAGGCATGTTTCATAGACAATGAACTTGGCAATGTTATGAACTGGGCATTCTTGGATTCTGTAAAAATAAATATACACATTAACATAATAAAAAAAAATTATGATGAATGTTATGATGACAATACACAATCTGTCAAATAATTTACATAATGCATAAACTCACGACAAGTCTGTTGGTTCAGTTGCAGATGTGCATTCCTCTGCAGGGTCAAATGTCACATCCGAGTCTTGGGCTATAATTTTTGACTCTGTCAAAGTCTCTTCGGCTTCTTCTTCTTCCTCCTCCTCCTCCAGCTCCAGACGAGGTCTTTTTAGTGAAGGTTTGAGGGGTGTCGAAGTCATAAACGCAGTAGAGGACGCTGATGGCACAGTCAGTTCAAAACTGGATATTGTTGTCTGGACACCTATAGTGTAATTTTATGATTAATCTCATTGCACGTTTATAAAGATAATAAAACACGTTTCTAATGCAGCAACTTAAAATAAACTGAGAAATTTTAACTTACTTGTACTCCTGCGTTTAGCCTGAAGCGTCCTAAAAGACAACTGGGTGCCAACACTGTGTAAAGATGTGTGAAAAGGTTCTGTCTGGCAAGCTACATCCACCTTGTTGCTCTTTGTCGACGTCGTGGCCTTTGTAAGAAAACATACATGTTTTAAAATGACCTTTATTTGATTAAAACATACCGATCTTATTGTAAACAACTGCAGACCACGTGCAAGTACAGTGGAAAAAAATTACAATAAACATCCCACATACAAAACAAACTTTAGCTGTAACTTAGTCAGTGGTAATGCTTTATTACAATGTTTAATTTTTTCTACGGTTTCTGTTTCTGATGGCTAAAACCCCTTTATGTACACATTACCACTTAAAGATTCGAGTATTTAGACTGTTTTAGAAAAGCACAATAGCTGTAAACGCGCAAACATCCGAAGTAGCTTTAGCCGCAGATGCTATTTATTTCTGCTTAACATTACAGTATACACATTACAACAAACATCCCACATAAACAACAAACTTTAGCTGTAGCCAGTACTGGTTACTGCTTTATTACAATGTTTATATTTTTCTATGGTTTCTGTTTCTAATGGCTAAAAGCCCTTCTTGTACACACTACCACTTATAGCTTCGATTATTTAGATTGTTTTAGAAAAGCATAATAGCAGTGAACACGTGCAAACAAACATCCGAAGCAACTTTAGCGGCTTTTAACTTTTAGATGTTATTCATTTCGGCTTACGATTACAGTACAACAAACATTTAACAACAACAAACTTTAGCTGTAGCCAGTGGTACTGCTTTTTACAATGTTGCTATTTTTCTACGGTTTCTGTTCCTAATGGCTAAACCCCCTTCATGTACACACTACCATATGCAGCTTCGAGTATTTAGACTGTTTTTGAAAAGCACAATAAGAGGTAAACACGTGCAAACAAACATCCGAAGCTACTTTAGCCGCAGATGCTATTCATCGGCTTAACATAATTAGAATACTAAGGCTAGAAGTACATAAAATGTAATACTTACTTGAAGTGAGACAGGATCACGTATTGTAGGAACTGATCCAGTTTTCAAAAACAATTTACTCGCGAATCCGGAGTTGTATTGTCCCGCGTTCTCGAGGCAGTCTACGCTAAAGTGGTTAGCGCAAACATACAACAGTTTTGGTACATTTTCAGGCACCTTGTCTTCAAAGATAAAACTCAGCCACTTAAGCCTCTGTTGCTCATTTGCAGGAAGACGGTGAAGGCTCTTGTGCTGAGCCTTACATCCTAAAATAGCACAAGGGTGTTCTCTCGGTGGCATCGCTTCGACGTTCACGCTGATAATGGCGGAAACGGCAAACGCAGGATATGTTAATACGCGCAGCTGTCAATCAATTCGGTGGGCGGGGGGAATCGCACACCTACGTAATGGTGCGATCGATTTGAAAACAGCTCCAATTGGCCGACCCTTTTTTTTGTAGTTAAATTGAAAAAAAAGGACTGGGTGTGTTCATATCACCCCAGTATGATGGTCTATACACTATACCAACACACAGATCTGTCCAAACAGCTTGAAAAGAAGATTTTTTACAATAGGTGCCCTTTAAATCAAATCAAATCACTTTTATTGTCATATCATCAGCAGCATGTGTGCTATGATGAGTGAAAAGCTTAAGTGCTGGCTCCAGACAGTACAAAATACATTTAGTGATGGGAAGTTCGGATCATTTTACTGACTCGGATCTTTGAGTCTTGTTCATCAAGATGAACGAAACTTTTTTCGAGTCATTTCGTTCAATTTGCCAAAATATTATTAAAATGTTACGAATTACATCCAAACACATCTACAACTAGCCCAAAAGGTTGATGGCACGACAAATAAATCATAAATAGAATATAAGAAGGAGAAAATAATACTTCAATGTTTGCCTGCTCTTTTATCTATGAAGGCATTTTTGTCTCTTTGCTCAGCTCATCTCTTCATGTACAGTCTAAGCCAATAGGAGCCATGATCGTTCGTTCATCACGTGACAGAATGACTCAAACCCGAGGACTTGAGTGATGAACGGTTCAATTCTTTTTCCGGCTCTAAACGCGTATGATTGGCCCGTGATGAACAAGTGACTCAGAGCCGATAGAGGACTCGAGAGGTGAGCAGATCACTTCTTTTTCCGGCTATAAACGCATATGATTGGCCCGTGATGAACAATTGACTCAGAGCTGATAGAGGACTCGACAGGTGAGTGGATCAATTCTTTTTCCGGCTCTAAACGCATATAATTGTCTTCTGCCAATGTGATGAAGACTTGAAATTAACGATACCACCTGCACAAATGTGCGCACGTGCGGATGAACGAATCACTCCCTGAGAGGACTCGTAGTTCCTGAGTCATATTGAAGATTCGTTCAAAATTAACGAATTGTTCATGAACAACCCATCACTAAAATACATATAGTGCAAATACATTGACAATGCAAAATACAACAGCATAGTCTTAAAAAGAAAAAAAAAACAGGACAATGTAAAATAGACAGCGATATGTACAATGAATAGGTGACCGTATAGTTGAAGGCAGTATTGTTTCAAGTCTGGATTGGTTAAAGTGCAGTGCATGCTACATATTGATGCTGTGTAGTGAGGGGTATGGAAGAGTCTGTGTGGGGTGTGTTAAGTATTCATCAGCCTGATAGTCTGAGGGAAGAAACTTTCCTTCAGCCGGCTGGTATGTGACCGGATGCTGCAGAACCGTCTGCCTGAGGGTAGCAGAGAGAAAAGTCCATGGCTTAGGTGGCTGGAGTCGCTGATGGAGTCTCTTGGCTTTCCTCATGCACTGCCTGGTGTAAATGTCCTGGAGGGAGGGAAACTCACCTCCTACTACTCGTCCAGCAGTTCACACAATCTTATGTAGGCCTTTGTGATTGCTGCTGGTGATTCCATACCAGGTGGTGATAAAGCCAGACAGGATGCTCTCCACAGTGCAGGTGTACAATGAGCGGAGGATGTGGTGGCTCATTCCAAACCTCCTGAGACGCCTGAGGAAGAAGAGGCGTTGTTGTGCCTTCATCAGCACTGCGTCTATGTAAGCAGCCCATGTCACGAATTTAGCGATGACGTTGGATATGTGTTTGGCTGTACAGTCATGTGTGTACAGAAAATACAGGAGTGGGCTGAGAACACAGGCCTGTGGAGCACCAGTGTTGAGGATCAGTGTGGACAAAGTAATGTTGTTTATTCTGACCACCTGGTGTCTGCTTGACAGGAAGTCCAGGATCCAGTTGCACAGAGAGCTGTGTAGACCCAGAGCCTGGAGCTTCACCACCAGCTTGGCAGGCACTATGGTGTTGAATGCTGAGCTGTAGTTCACAAACTGCATTCTCACATATGTGTTTGTTTTCCAGGTGAGACAGTGTGCAAGGTGAAAGCAATTGCATCATTAGTAGAGCGGTTATTTTTGTATGCAAATTGCACAAGGTCAGTCTGAGTGGGCGGTACAGAGCAGATGTGCTTTTTAATCAGCTTCTCAAAACATTTGCCAAAGATGGGTGTCAGAGCAATTGGACGCCAGTCATTTAATAATGTGGTTTTAGTTGATTTCAGTATGGGCACAATAGCAGCTGTCTTAAAGCATGTGGGAACCACAGACCAAGAGAGCGAGAGCTTGAAGATGTCCGTGTAAACTCCCGCTAGTTGGTGTGTGCATGCTGTAAGTACATGTCCAGGGATGCCATCTGGGCCAGTAGCTTTTCGCATGTTCACGCGACGAAAAGATCTTGTTACGCACCTTGTGTTATTTGTGTTAAATTGACCCTCTACCTTCTCTCTGTATTGACATTTTGCTGTTTTGATGGTTTTCCTGAGGTTGTAATTTGCTTGTTGTTGTTCCTTAGCATTTCTGGATTTATAGGCAGAAGCTCGCACTGATAAGGTTGTTCGAAATTCACCATTGATCCTTGGTTTTTAGTTGGGGTAGATACAGACAGTTTTTGTTGGGGCCACATCTTCTATGCATTTTCTGATGAAGCATGTAATGGTGTCTGAGTTTGCTTCAATGTCGTCATCACAAGCTGTCCGGAACATCTCCCAGTCCACGTGTTTAAAACAGTGTTGAAGTATGGAATCCGATTGGTCTGTCCAGCTCTGAAACGTCCTGTTTCTGCCAGTAAGCAGGAAAGAGCAGAACAGAAGAGTGATCTGATTTGCCAAACGGTGGTCAAAGGAGGAATTTGTAGGCGTCCTGGAATGGGGAATAGCAATGGTCCAAAATATGGTCACCACACGTGTTTGTGGTAATGTGTTGATAGTATTTTGGAGCGATTTTCCTGAGATTGTTGTTGTTAAAGTCCCCTGTAAAAAAATAAACGTTGCCTCCGGTTGTACGGTTTCCTGCTTGCTTATGCTCCCATACAGTTCCCTGAGCCCCTGTTCTGTGTTGGTTTGAGGGAGGATGTACACAGCCGTAATAATCACAGCTGTGAACTTCCTTGGTTGTCAGTATGGCCCACACTGAAGCATAAGATATACCAGATCAGGAGAACAAAATTATCTAACTGGGTGTATGTTCCTCTCATCACACCATGAGTTGTTAATAAAGAAACACACACCTCCTCCTTTGCTTTTCCCTGTGAGTTCTTTCGTTTAGTCCGTGCACTGCACGGAGAACCCCGAAAGTTCAGCAGCTGTGTCTGGTACCTCCGTAGATAGCCAGGTTTCTGTAAGGCAGATAATGCAGCAGTTTCTTGTTTCCTGTTGGAGGGAAATGCCCGCCCGTAGCTCGCAAAGTTTGTTGTCTAGTGACTGAATGTTAGCCAGCAGAATGGTGGGGAGCAGAGGTCGAAATTCAAGGCGTCTCACTGTACGTTCACACCGAAAGCGGCGAGAGCTTCCAAGGTCGCTCTGGCAGCCCTGGCGACAACGCTGTCTGCCTTCAGCTCCGGCGGCGAGAGCGTCAAAATCCGCTACATTGTATATGTAAACATTTTGTATTTAAAGGGGCCGTTGCTGAACATAAGCAAATCGCTTGCATTCCCGCTAAAAACATGCTTCCTAGTGGCAAAATGTTGCATATAAATAATACCGTGCACAGTTTTATCAAATACATTTCACTATGGAAGATCAAGTTGTTGCGTGTTGTGTGGCTTTGCTCTACCTGCGGAGGAGAAGACACCGAAGATCGGTGTGGGTGCATGAAATTCTTCAAGCCCGTCATCAGCTTGGGGAATTTCACCGGCTGGTGCAGGAACTGCGGCTGGATGTTGGCAGGTTCCAGCGGTACTTCAGGCTGGATAGAGAGCAGTTTGACAGCCTGCTCTTCAAAGTGGGACCGCAAATTGCGTGACAGGACAGCAATTACTGGCAATCTATTGAGCCGGCTGAGCGTCTCGCAATTTGTCTTCGGTGAGTTAATCATTTATTTTGTTTAATTGTCAAAATTTTGTTCAAATGTTTTTATTATTGTTATATGGCTATTTACCTTTTTATTAATATCTTACTGTCCAGTTGTGGACTAATTATTAAGAATCATTTACTTAAAGCATAAGCATAAAACAAAATTACGAGCCTAATCATAATATTAATAGTGAATTTTGACTATTTAGGTTTAAAACGTATCTTTTTCCTTTTATAGTATTATACATTAAATTATCTTTATTTCTACATCAGCAACATTTGACTATTTAATGGAAAGTTTAATATACATAAGAACATGTTACATAAGTGCAAGCCCCTGAAATTTGCATGAAAGTAGGGCAAAGTAATTCTAATCATCATAGATTACTTTGTTCTTAATTGATAGCTGTTGTTTTTGCAGATTCTTGGCCACAGGAGACTCCTACCGCACCATAGCTTTCAGCTATCGTAAGCACAGTGGCAGGGATTGTTGGAGCGGTCACCAGAGCAATATGGGACACGTTGGCACAAGAGGTGACCACTGAGGACTGGCGAAACAACTCAACTGACTTTCTCCATCGGTGAAGCTTCCCTAACTGTCTTGGGTCCATCGATGGGAAACATGTTGTGATCAAAGCTCCTGACAACTCAGGGTCCCTATTCTACAACTACAAGGGGACTTACTCGGTTGTGCTCCTGGCTGTGGTAGATTCACAGTACCGCTTCCGAGTAGTGGATGTAGGCAGTTATGGGAGGATGAGTGATGGCGGTGTACTAGCCAATTCCATCTTTGGCCAGGCACTCCGAGATGGGGCCCTTGGTTTGCCACAGGATGCTCTGCTGTCAGGTGCAGAGCATTTTGGGCCACAGCCACATGTGTTTGTTGCTGATGAGGCCTTTCCACTCTGTCGAGACCTCATGCGCCCTTTTCCAGGACACAACCTTTCAGGCAGGCAAAGAATTTTTAAATACAGGCTGTCACGTGCAAGGCTGATTGTTGAGAATACCTTTGGTATTCTCACAGCTCAGTGGCGTATGTACAGAGGAGCCATTGAGATCAGCCCTGCCAACGTAAATGCGTGTGTGAAGGCTACCTGTGTCCTGCACAACTTCCTAAGGTCAACAACTTCCACAAGGATCCCCCTACCATCAGCTGCTGATGGAGATGCTGCTGGCTTACAGGAGGTCACCCGAGTGGGCAGCAACAACGCCACACGGTAGGCCATCCGTGTCCGGGAGACATTCACATCATATTTCTCCACAGAGGGAGCCGTCCCCTGGCAACCTGTGCCATAATAAATGGCTTTAACGGCTCTTTTAAGAGCCACAAATTCATTTTAAAAGAGCATTTTTCCATTAAAATATTATTAAATGTGACATGACACACTTTTCCCTATTGAAACAAAAATACAGTTCCATAATGTGCTTAAAGTGCTTTACGTTTTGTTAATTCTTTGTTTAATTCTTTTTTTTCAGCTGAAGACAAACTAATATATTTTATACATTGACTTTCATTGTAGCAACTATGGTATTAAAATCAAAATATTTTCTTTTTTCACCAAATAAAGACAAAAACTCAAACTGGTTTTTAACAAGTCAAGGGTTAAGATTATCCTAAGGACACACACACACACACATATACATATATATATACCTGGGGAGAAAGTACAAGGTGCAGCTGACAGGGCTGCGAGGGAAATAAGCTTACAAACACCCCTCACAGACTTGTCAGCTGCCCCCCGTTTCTTTCTCCCCAGGTATCAGCCATATCAGCTTCCATACATTTAGCTTCATATATTAGCTGATGAATTTTGAATTTTATGTCCTGTCTGCTTCTTACTGACAAGGACTTAAAGTCTTCCAGTAAGCTTTTAAAAAACAAAGTGTCACTGTCCTCCTGAGGAGCAACAGTTTTCTTTGATATCGCCTCTAAAGTTGACATTATTCTGTCTTCAAATTCTGTACTGTTCTGTGCTGCTTTCTTTCTCTTGGTTCCTTTATCTTGTACACTCACACTTTGGCTTGTCATGAGTGAGCTGCTGGACTCTGCTGGACTTGATGGTCCTGCCTCACTGGTCTGGCTCTCTATGTTTTGTGCATGTGTGGGTGTAGTCTGCACTGCTGCCTCATTGTCTTCCATGGCATCATCCCTCTGCTCTGGGTTTTGGGCTTCACCAACCCCCCCACCATGTTACTGCTGGTCGCTCTTTCTTCTAGGAAGGGGTTGAGGAAGCCCATGACTCTACTGTACCGCCATGGCCGCACACTGTTAGCTCCTGCTCCACTCCTTTTCCTCTCTGCCTCTTTCTTCCTCTCTTTTCTGTATGTGTCTCTAAGAGACTTCCATCTCTTTCTGCACTCATCCACTAGTGAAAAGACAATACAAAGTGCACAATTAATATAAACACATAATCTCTGAATAATATATATATATATATATATATATATATATATATATATATATATATATATATATATATAATTTGCAATAATACAACTTTGCTGCAGCTCTTTTAACACCTATTGTAAATTTAATCCAATTTAGGTTTACATGTCTGATATATTCTCAGGGGTGATAGCGCTCCGGCACCACGCCGGATTTCCGGCGTACTGTGGATGCGGGGGGGGAAAAAATCAGGTTCACGGATATTGATCTGTCAGAATTCCCTCACTGCTGAAAGCGCCGGATTGGTTTTTATTAAGTGCCATTTTGTGTGCTCGTGAATCATCTTTTGAGTGTAGACGCCATGTAAATAAAAGATTGTGTAATTTAGAGAGCTTTATAAATTATAACGGATCTTTGTGAGATCTCTATGAACTAAGATTAGTGACGATTTTTAGTGATAATAAGAGAAGCGTGCTTTGCACTTTCCAGGCTATAATCCATTCAGAATTTGTATGAAACTTTCGTTTTCGGCACATATACGCTGATATGTTTTGGGAATGACATCTGCATATTTACGCTGGGTTTATTCTCGAAATAACGGTGAAGCAATAGACGGGACAAAAATATATTTCCCCCTTCTCCTTAAACAACTTAGTTTTTCAGCTATAAAATCGTTCAGTTTTGTATGTAGCCTAATGGCAAAGTGTTTATATTTAGTTTCGTTTTTTATTCAGCTTATTTAAAACGTTTGGAGCATTTTTTATTCGTTAAAAATAAGTTTTTTTTTTTTTTTTTTTTAATGAACAGCGCCCAGCGGAAGACCATCATTGTCTGTTTGATCAGTTTGCCTTCTCAGATCATCACGACTTGCCTAAAATAAAAGATATAAAACAGTTCAGTAAAACAGTATAAAACAATGGTAGCTTAAACGTTAAAGAATGTGTGCTATTAGGCGCATAGTTTGCTTATAAAAAGCATAATAAATATATTTATAGAAAGCTTTAAATTATTACTTAACAAAATAAAACAAATCGAAAACAAAAAAAC